CCGATGCACATTTCTTCATCTTTTATTGCAGTAGAGAAACACTTGAAAGTGCGCAAGCTTATCAAGGACTATGATTGACGTAACCGTCATAGCGACATTTCCCCTAATCCGCCTCTCTCATGCCCTTGCACGATGAATGCTTCTTTCCATGGCTTATTACGTCATTCTACTTAGATGTGGAAATGCATGGCTAAGTTATTGGGTAGATAAAAGCAATATTAGGACGAAGTTTCTGAGTGGATGGAACATCTTCTCCTAATGAGATTCCCTGTGATATTGCCGAGCATATTGCTGTTTCTTTGATTCAATGTGACGATAACAGCTGAACGGATATTAGCCTTTTTGTTACGCTCTAGAAGATGAGCGCTCCTGAGATCTTACCACGATATATTTAAAGTTAATTGGGGGCTTTGAGTAGTTTTGTAATAATTGAAATAACATGGATAGCAACTTTTCCGGACTATTCCAGTTATGGGAGGGGGTATCATGATGCAGTTTTTTTCCAGAAGCTAGGGTAACTCCGAGCCGGGGGAGTGTAGCCAGTTTAGGGGGTGAGGTGTGAGGGCAGTCACTTGACATGTGCGAAAAGCTGGAATGTTCGAGTTCGCCAAAAAGCTGCATCATGATGCCCCCCCGTAACTGGAAGAGACCCACTTTTCCAAAATAGAGTCATTTCCTGGTTTCATTTGGTTTTTGAAGGCGCTGTTTGTGCTATTGTAGTAGGTCAAACTTGCTGCTGTCTTGTCCCGCTTCCTAAAAAGTGCTGACGAACGGCAGTTGTGAGATTGAATTGCTTTGTGTCACTACCACAACTATCCTTAATATTTTTGACTTGCTTGGTCTGGACCCCCCGCAATTCCCTCTGCGTGGGATGTTGTTGTTGTTGCTGGTGTGAGGGAAGGACTTTGATTAATGTCATTATTGTTGATGTGGAACCGCTTCAACCGCATGAGGTGCGTTGAAGCGTTTTTGATGAGGGAATACTGGAAGGCGGCAAAAATCAGCATTGTTCCCGAATTTTGGATAGCATTGGGCCACCTTTCAGTTGTTAGCTTTCCAATTTCCCCTCTAGCATGGCCCAGATGGCACGAAACCTAAAGTAGTGTTTATGTATTTGGATTCGCTTCCAGAGAGGTAACTCATCTTATTCCTGAATCAACCTGTTACATGAGTCTAATGGTTCAATCTCAAAATCGAACTTCCACTGGGCATGTGTTAGCGATCACAATAACGCCAGCGAAACTCTTGAGAATTCATGAATGGACAGAATTTCTAAGTGTGCCATTCAATTGCCCATATTGAAGGTGCCCATATTGCTTTGCGTGCGCGTTATGCAAAACACTGTTCGACGAGGTTTTTCAGATGTTCCACAAGTTGGGAGAAAGGCTTGACATCCATTTTCTCCTATGAAATCAATGGAGAATAGTTTAGTTATTAGTTTGTCGAAATATAGTGTGGTGAACATTTTTCTGTCAACACGTTGACGACCGTGTGTGTGATGTCATACCACACTTTCACATGGAGCAGACTACGTTTTCTCAATTTGTTTGGCGTTTCTTCCTGTTCCACAACGGTCCATGTACATATTGGATCCGAAAACATTTTCTCATTACTGATAGTGAAAACGCTGAAGGATTAATGCCTATTGATGAGAGAATACGAAAAATGTTGAAGCAGTACGCGCACAACGGCGGTCGTCAACGTGTACATCCCTCACTTGACTTATAGTTTCTACCGTATCGCTTTTCTTAAGGCCGTGACTCAGTTCGGTACTGGGACCACCCAAAGATCCGCAGTGAGACGAGTAGCAGTCGGACTGTTCTTGACTGGGTGATGGTAAACCACATGTGAAGCTGCATGCCAACGGTATCGGGTTGTATTGGAATATAGTATAGGTCTATGTCAGCCGGAGTCTGACCATTCCTTGTGTCTTTTCGTCCGATCAAACATTAACTTCAAGGGACTTTATCTATTATTACGTTGCCATACCAATGAGGGGTAATTCTTGTTCGCTATGAAGTCAAACAGAGGAGAGTACATATAAGAAGAACTTCTCGACTTCAGCATTCCTTCATGTAGTTCGTCACTAACTCACCAACTCTTTCAAGGACGTGCAATCCCATAAGACTGCCAATACACTTCTCCACTTGTGCTATCGAATTCCTGCCTGCATGAACTAAGCTTATGCATAAATTCGTAATTAGGTCATGCATTGCGTAATGGTCCCAAAAAGAAAATAGTGTGGCTAAGACAAGTGAGAGACATAACCTGTCAATAAAAGAACTTGCCTGTGACATCGCCTGTCATTGTTCCATTCGAGGATCAAAGCCCACACAGCCCGATGAGGTTTTTCTCCTCTTTTGGGTCGAATAACACTTAATGGACGATGTGCGTCGGCATGTGGTGCACGCCCGGATAGTGGAAAAAGCTTTCAGCACACAATTTTGCTCACGGAGAAACATTCTCTTACGTCATACCGAAGACGTGCGCGAGGTCAGTGTTATTGACCACGTTACGGTTGGATTGAAGTGGAATGAAAGGCCGCATTTGAATAGAAGTGTGATGCAGGATGCCTTTTATGTGCATTTGTCGTTCATCATCTTTCAGCGCGCTCCACTACGACTGCTTTGAAGAAAAGAAAGATCTGGACATCTCTTTGAAGTCTAGCCATTGATTCCTAATCCCGTCCTGATTACTTCTGGTTCAGCCTTTACAATTTTCTAGCGACACAAAAAATGCAAAAGTTCAACTTTCTAAAAGCGTTCAACACACGCGGCTAATAAATAAGACGTAATCCCTGATCCCTCGACCTGTCCTCGTACGAGTATGAGCTTTTTCTATGGCGTATTCAAAATAATCCTTTCTGGAAAATACTTGCATTCGGCAAAACAACTGATAGAATAGAGATGCAGCAGAAGTGTGAGATGTTAGAGGAACTAGCCAAAAGGTCAAAGCTCTCTATGTCAGCACCTACGATACGTAGTAAAACTATTCTCGCCCCGCCAGCATTTGTGACAGATGTCCGGCGGGAATTCAAACGCGTAGCAGTCTTTCCGGATTTTCATATTATTTATCAGAACAGAAGCAATTTTTTATTTCCTGTTATCGTGAATGGTAAAGCAAATTTTTTGTTTATTTCATTTTTATCGTGAATGGTAAGCCAAGCCAGTAATTTATGGGTGAGATAAGAAACATGATTTTTCTGGAAAGGTTTTCTTCAAAGCACTGGTTCGGTGCATATGTTTGTCTTTGTGTTTGTAGTCAACAGTTCGTTCACTATCTCAACTCGAGTTTTGCCTGGTGGTATCCAATTGCATATCTATTTCTGCATTGATTCAAAATTCTACACTTTCCGAACACCGGCGGTAGTGTATCAAACAGAATTGTTTATTTTGCAAGGTAAATGCATAGCCAGACTTCCGCTGAATAAATTACACGTGGAATCGATAGCGGAAATGCTGCGAAAACACATTTTGGAAGGCGGTGAAGGTTCCCCTGTGTGGCCCAATTAGGGGCTGAGAATTCCTCTCAGCAATATTTACTGGTTTTCAGGTGGTGCGCCATGGACTTCCGGATGATGCACGATGTCTCGCTTATGATCCAGTACAGCGGTTATTAGCAATAGGAACTGGACATGGAATCGTTAGAGTTATAGGTAGGGTAGTGAGGTGTTTGATTTCGGTTACGTCAGTGAATCTTACTAAAGACTTCCACTTGGAGGTCATTAGCTCTTCCGTAAGAAATGTTAGGAATGAGTGCTCTTCCTCTAGCTTATTATTCATTCATTCGCGTGCAAAATTCACAGGGATGATGTTTAGGAAGCAAGAAGACCTAGAAGCAGTAAGTTTTGTCGAAGGTGGGAAGCGTGGGGGGTCATCAAATTTTATGTTGATGAATTCCCCTCATCGAATAATAAAACATAGTGAAGAAATTACCTGCATTATTGTAGAACACATCAGTCCAGTTGAAATATAGTCGGATGTATTTGCTTTCACTGTTTGGTCACCTAGGCTTGAATGGCTGAATGTTGGCCTTTTTGTTGTTTCTAAAATCGTTGCGAGTATCTGTAATTCGGTCAATTTAATAATGTAGTTGTCTCCTTATCATATATCGTGGTTTAGGGTACGGGGAAACTTAATTCTTGATCTGTAACCACGCTAAGTGACAAGTGCCACTTGTCATGAAAACAGCTTTTGACTTATCTGACCCCGAGAAACCATCTCTGCGATCAGTTTCTTGATGTCGGGCTTGGCGAGAGGATAAAATACTGACTTGTGCGTGGACTCATCAAAGGGTATTGTGTAGGCCAAATTGATATCAATTATCTCCAAGAATTCAAACGAAAGTGGAATGCATGGCGCATTCGGTTTGCGTTTATTCACCTTAAAAGGCTATGCTTTCATGCTTTTAAAGAAATTTGATATTGTTTCTATCTTAATTCAAACTCAAAAAATCAGTTTCTTGACAAACCCGGGTTCCAAGTCCATGGAAACATCGGGGCGGCAGTGGTGTAGTAGCGGTGTGTGTAGCGTGGTGTGCTACGCTTACCACGCGCGTGGTCCGAGGATTGAATCCAGGGTTCGTGAATCCTGGGTCGTGAGTCGCCCGGGCCAACCAAGCCTTCCATCCCTCCGGGGTCGGTTAATTGGTACCAGACTTGTCTGGGAGGATAAAAACACTGACTTGTACATCGGCTGGCCCCCGCAAGTCATTGTATAGGCCACATCGCATTCAAACGCCACTACGAATGTACAAATGGAAGTAGAATGCGTGCCGCATCCCAAAAAGGGATTGATCAACGGCAAATGCTTTATCCTTTTTATCCTTTATGGGGACATCCGAAGACATCATTTGGTGGTCTTGTATTGTAGAACTGTTAGTAAAGTAACAGTTTGATTCGTCAACCCTGCTTGTGCTTATACTAACCAATTCGTTTTGCGCTGGTTACCATCACCTCAATTGCTTTCAGACGCGGTGCGGGAAATATTCATTTATTGCAGCTCTAACTTCCATTTCTGCTTCTTCAGCATTAAAAAAAGCGATTAATTTCGTATATTAGCTGGCGGCGAAATGGTTGCGTGTCTGACTGACACTTTTCACATTTTTCCAAGAGTTGATTCCCTAATTCTTCCTAGAATTAATTTCATCTTTCGTGGGACTCAACTCGATGTGAAATCTATGTTTTTTGGAACATTACTATTTCAGGTGACGTAGGAGTAGATTTTGTGTTTAAACACGAAACGGATCACGCCGTCAATCATATTCAGTTCCTTATTAACGAGGTATCCTTCTTTTCAAGAAAGATTTCGAATTTTTTTCTAATAAGTACTCGTTTAGGGAGGTCTGATCACAGCTTGCGCGAATGATATCGTACATTTATGGAATTACCGCCAAAAAGTCCCAGAAGTGAGAGCCAGCAGAAAATTTTTTCCTAGTTCTTCAGTAAGTCCAATCTTTTCAGATTGTACGAAGTGTGCAGCTGAACAAGGAATCCGTGTCATGTATTCATCTTCCTATGGGTAGTAAATGGTTGTACGTAGGCACGGACAAGGTAATTTCTTATTTGTGTTTATCTACCTTTTGTTATGCTCTGAAGTGGTCTGGAACACTAGTCAACTCAGTCAGGTTTTGTTTGCTTTTAGGGTAACGTATATTTCGTTTCTATTGCAACATTTCAATTGAGTCCGTATATTATTAATTGGAATAAGGCTATCGATCTGTGGGTTTTTACTTGAAGTTTTCATGGTTCACCACTCAAGTTTTCAATTCTTCATCAACTTTTGGACTTCCTTTGATTGCAGAAGTTGCCGAGTACATCCTGGGTCGGTTAGACAAATAGGTGTTTCTCCGAACGAGCCTGCTAAGATTCTTATTGCATTTGACAAGGGCGTGATGGTGCAGTGGAATCTTGCCACGAAAGAAGTTGATCGATTCCCACTTGATCCGCCTATAAAGTGTTTCAGGCAGGCGTTTTCGTATAGGCTTTATTCAGTGCCTTTTTTGTGTTGCCGGTTCATTTGCGCTTAAAAGCCTGATTTATGTTTCAGTTGGCACTATGAGGGAAAGTTAATTATGACCGGAAATGTGGATGGTTCCATCTCTGTATATAATATGAAAAAGACTAGTAAGTCTGCTCAAGTAAATGTTGTTTTTTTCTCTGTTGTCTAGTCGAGAATGGATTCAGGTGAACCACAGCAAAAAACTTCCCCGCACGGGCAGGGCCCTTGTCGACCCATCAACGCAATCGACTGGAAGCTTACCAATGACGGAGATCAGTTCATCATCTTCTCTGGTGGTAATTTTCAAAGTTTGTGTGCTCTGAGTTACTTGTTCTGATTTCTCTTCCTTTTTTCTAAGGCATGCCGACTGAAGATGGTTTGCCTGTCCCTGCGCTCACGTTTCTTCGTGCCTCCAAATCCGCTACTGTTCTTGAGATGGAGCATCCAATATTATCGTTCGTTACTATACCAAATGTAAGTGGAGCCTTCTTATTTGGGTAGTGAATGTTCAAATAAGAGGTGCATTACAAAAAAATCCTTTTTATTTTCATCTCAAACGTTCAGGTTCCTTTTCCATCATGTCCTCAACAACCTCAAGCGTTAGCAGTTTTGTTGAAAGGAGAGTTGATGATGCTCGATCTGCTCACACCTGGGTATGAACTTCTCAGATATGTTTTTGGTGTAATAAGTTTTCCGTTTCTTTTTACCTTTATTGCGATTCATGATGTACATTATCAGTTGAAAAAGTGCCATGCTACGTGTCAGAGAGTTTATTTACAGGTACCCCTGCATTGAATCGCCTCACGCAATGGATTTGCATGAGGTTCCGATAACCTGTGTCGCATACTATTCCGATTGCGCCAGTGACCTCATCGGAGCCTTGACTTTGGTCGGTTGTAAACAGAGAAGGAAAGGCTTCAGTGAACGGGTAAGACTTTTGTGATTATTCTTGCACTTACTTGAAATAAAAAAGAGAGCACTGAGCGAAGTTGATGTTCAATTTTCAGTTAAATCGTTCATTTTACAGGCTTGGCCAGCGAGTGGAGGAATTGCAAGGGAATGTGCTACGGGTCACCAAGAACTTATTCTCACTGGGTGAGATGATTATCAGCAAACGTTTTGCTGGCCTCTGCATGTAATCATCTTTATACTCACCGCTAACATCATATTTTCAGGCACAAGGACGGTTCGGTACGTTTTTGGCAAGCGTCTGGAGAAAACCTTCAATTTCTATATCGTCTCAAAACAACATCACATTTCGAACGACTGGAGGAGTGGGAAGGCTGCGAAAAGGTTTCGCATGCTGTTAAGTCGATCGAGCTTTGCGTTGAGGTGAATTTTTTCTTATGCAGTTTTTCTGTTCGTATCTTTCAAGCGATTTGAAGTATTTCCTTGCAGTCCCGGTTGCTTCTTGTGTGTGGCGTCTCGGGACAAGTTACCTTATTCCGTTTCACAAAAACGGAAAGTATGAATACTATAGCGGTGAGTAGATACTTGTCCGCAAGCTTATTTTATCGTTTTTAGTCTCCTAAAACCAATTTCCTCGTTTTTTTGAATAAACAGGTGTTCCTATTGTTATTTTATTGAGGTCGTGCAAATACCTCAACCAAGTACATCCTCGTGTAGCGCTGGCGACGAGCGCTCACCTCCTCTTCCACCTCCAAAAGAAATAAGAAGGCAAAAGAAGGTACTGGAACATGTATTTGGTTTCTTATGTGTGTCTCTAGAAGCTAATCTCTTGGAAGGACTTTGAGCTTGGTTGTCATTTGAAAATGAACCACTGTGGCGTTATTTCCATTGATTTCCTTATTGCGATTAATAGCTTTGCAGCCTCAACTTGCTCAAATCAGCAAACACCACTTCTCGCTAACGGTGTCTGATACTTCATCGCGTACTTTGCCCAAGTTACATACAACCACTTTTTGTATAACGCAATCCTTCACTTTTCACATTCCTTTCCTTCTTTTTTCTTTCATGTGATGCTTGCACTTGGGATCTGTCTTGTTTTTTTTTTTACTTTAGATTGAAATGTTGTTTGTTACAGGTAGTGAGCCGTGATTCAACTAACAGCCCGGATACCAGCGACGCATCGGGAGATGAGTGTATTTTCCCATTCAAAGTTCGCGGAGCCCCAGTGAAACGATCCGCGGGGTACCAGGTGAATTTCATTGGTTTTCCGTTCGATGATTCTATCCGCTGTAACTTCTTGTATTTGAAGTGGAAGGCATATCTCTTGCTTTCGAATGATCTGTTGAACCTTGCGTTCTCAAATGTTAGGCGTGCTTTTGCTTTGAATAGAGGTGATTACGTGACGGCGAATTAGTTGAAGGGTTCCTCGCACCACATGGTCGAGTATCCTGACATAGCCGATTTTCACACGTCTCATTCGTGAATGCTACATCTATAGACTGTTTTATTAGCATAAGGTCATAGCTGTAATTTTAGCCAGAACTCGCATGCCTGGTTCCATGGCCAAGTACTTCACAAGCTGACACCGTAACAACTACAGCGCTCAATTCTGCATTCGGTGTAATAGCTTTAGGTAGGTCTTTTTTTGATGAACTATGTCATGCTGTATAAATGTATAAGGGAACTTGAAGCAGTGGGTTGAAGGCGACGGAATTATGTACATCAATAAAGTGGGATTTATCAAAAATCTGAAAAGTTTTTTTTGCCGTCATTGTTATTGTGATTAAATAAAAGGCAGATTCTTGATAGAAGGTAAAAATGGACAGGTTATCACAGTAAAACACCCGTGACCATTTGTGTGCTTGCTGCGCGGATGCCTACTTCTGCTCTCAAAATCTAAAAGGGAAGGGAAGATAGCTGTCATGGTAGAGAAGTGGTGATAATTAAAAATTAAGGGCGCTTTTGGTTTTTGAAGTGCCATCAAAAGCAACTTACGCTTCACTTGTATATGTCAGGTTTATCGAACGGCCTGGCTCTGGTCGATATTGCGCAATGTGCATTGATATACGCATGGAGTACGTCGGAGCTGTATGGATCCGATCCCACGCCAGCTATTCAGTTGCAGGTCGCAGACGTTTCCTCCCCGAGTCCTGTTGAGGTACGCGAATTTTGATTTCTGAAAGACTTATTTGCGATATTAATCTACGATCTAGCTTACCTGCAACGCTTTCGGGGTTTCCGGGGTTACTGTGCTACGGTCTACAAATGCTTGAAGGTGTAGGCAGTTTTATTCGGAGTGGCACCTCACGCAATCGTGGATGTGTGATCGCGTAATAGTCATTGCGCAAATAGTGGTTTTGCGCATTTTGATCCTATTCAATGTATCTTCTACTCCTGCCCCATCTGTTTTTGAATCGTTCAGTAGCAGTTACTCCACGCGGCAGCTTCCCTGCATATACCTGTTACCACCTACCCTCCCCTTCAAAAATGACCAGAAATTGTGCAATTGCAGAAATTGACGTGGCATTGGCACACGTGGCTAAATTCTCGATGAAAAGGTGACATCACGTGTGCTCAAAGATGTTCTTGAATCGATGCCACGTTAATGCCACGTCAATTTCTGCAATTGCACAATTTCTGGTCATTTGAAGGCGAGGGTACTTATCATATAACTTCGTATAATCAAGGCATTTCTGAACACAAGTCAAGTTTTTGCTGCGCTTTTGATGTTTCCACGAGCTCCAAAAGCTTCTCTTCCGAATAAAATCATTTATACAAGTTCTAGTCTAATTGCCAGAAAAATGCTGACATAAATACGGAATATCTAAGTAAGTTCTTTGCCAAGGTTAGTGAGGTGCTGCTCCGGTTATAATACCACATTGCTTGAGTGTGCTTATGCATTTTGTCATTGTGATTGTGGTGTGTCAAGTTTATAGCTCGAGCAGCCTACAGAGAACGAGGAAGTGGTCCAGTCATCAGATGCGTCCGTGCACCGAAAATCTTTGTCACCAAGGTCTGCTGGTGGCAAAGCTGTGTCTGTGCTCCGACGTAATACTGCTGAGTTCGCTAGTTCAATTCGTGAGCGTTACCGAGACAAGTCACTGGAGCATCCAGATCGACCATCAATAACCGGAGAGATTACGACTGAAGAAATCACATCCTTTCGGCAAGGACGCTGCCATTCTGAAAAGACGTCTATAGGCATCATGCGTCGTCTTACGAAGAAAGGCACGGCAGTTGCACGAAGCTTTTCATTTCACTCCCATGTACACGAAGGTGAGTTTGTGTCGAGCAGTTTATGTTTTTTGCTGTTTTAGGCACGGTTCAGCCAATAAAATTGCTTTTGGCAGTAGAAGGATGAAGTAAAAAGCGTTTGGTTCTGACCAAACACTTTTTGGGGTGCATAATAAATTCCGCTACTGTCTGGTCGTGCTAGCATCTGAATGCGATTTCCCCTGTACATTGACTTCTCGGGGTGTGAAGAGGGGCGCAGGTAGTGTAGAAAGTCAGTGTTTTTGATAACCCATCATCAGAAGAGTAAATTTTTTCTCCCAGATCAGTGCTAATGGCCAGGTCAACCGCTTTTGGAATTTTTCAAACAAGTGGTAGTATTATTATTCTAGAAAGTGAAACCTTTTTTGTGGAGAAAACGTGGGTGGGGTGTTTCTAGACATGAATTTTTCACGACACTTGAGACCTTGGAGATACTGAGGAGAAAATTCCTTCCCCTTCTCTCCCCCTCATCCCCCTCAAGGCACTTCTTGCAGTTTTGGGAGGCCGAAATTTGAGTGCCATAGTGACCCATTTCAGGGATGTCATCGAACCTCAGGGTTGGGGGAGGGGAGGTCGAATTGAGAACGCTCTCTGATTTCAAACTTTTCGGCTCCCCAACTTTCTTCACGATTTGGGCGCGGCCGCGGCAAAAACTCGCGGTAGTGCGACATCAGCTTTGCCTGAGTATTCGACGTTACATTACGTCCGTTACGATCGGATGAACTAACACGTAATGTAACGTCGAATACTCAGGTAAAGCTGATGCCGCACTACTCGGCCGCGAACGCCGCGGGTTTGCCGCGGCGGCGCCCCAAATCGTGAAGAAGTGGGGGAGCCAAACTTTTCCGAACATTACAGTGACCCTCGTGAATGCCTTTCGGGTAATTTGCTACCATAATGAATTTGGAAAGGTTTTGCTCCGAACCGCCACATTTATCTGTTTGTACAAGCAGAAAACTGATCCAAAAGCAATTCTAATAGCTGTTCTCTGCGCTCGGTGGTATTCAACCTGAGATGCGTGTCTCCTATTGCAAGATAGGAACTTTCATTTCGGACTGCATTTTACCTCAGCCTGTCAGTACATCCCGTTCCTTGTCTGCTTGCATTTTCATTGATGCCATTGGTGTTTTCCGGTCGCTGTTGTTTTCTTGGTTCTTGTTTGGTGGTTGTGGGCTTCTTGGTTCTTCTTTGGAATACTTCTTCAGTTTTTGGTTTACAAGTATATTATTTTGCATCGGTACCTTGAAATGTAGAATGTAGTACACAGAGTTAGTGAAGATTACAGTGTTTCAAATAGAAAGTGTTTTGTCAGTTTGCAAAGTGGAAAGACCGCTAGCGCTGCGTATTAAGTACAAGGTGGCAATATTCTCTAGACCTTTACAGTCACCATTAGCTGAGAGAAACCATTTGGTACGGTTGAATACGGATTACCGTCAGAGGTCGTTCGACCGACGTCCACTCTTCAAGGCCCAGTCTCTCATCACCTCCGATCAATGCAATGGTGGAGGTACACGAGGTATCAATTTTTCTACCGTGTGGCTTGGACTTACTTGCAATGCTTCGATGTTGTTGTCTTTGGGTGTGATGTTAATTCATCGATCAGCTTGGGCTTTTTTTTGAATGCACAGTGTACGTGATTGTGGCAGATTCTGACATCTTTGACTCTCTTGAAAAACCAGTGGGCTGAAGACATCCCGATGGAGCGCCTCCGATGATCAGTGGTAGATTGCGGTAATCGTTGTAAACTTTTGATTTCGACTTTCTTCGTTGTGCTAAGATTTTCCGTCCTTTCGTCGCTGAGTTATCGTCAGATTTGCATGTTCAACAGTCTGGGGTTCCAGTAGGCCGTCTCCAGACAAGTCTCGTCTTCTTCAGTGAACTGGTTCTGTTGTGATTCTTGAATTTGAAAATTTAGCTTGTGCGAACTTGTACCACAAGGTTGCACGTATGTAATGGAAAGCGAATAATAAGTTGTGTGCTGATTACATGCGTCTTGCCATTAATTTATGCCCCCGCATCTGCCTAATTTTGTACAAGTGGTACAAGATGGTTTATTATTATTTTGCTTCCCAGGCGACTCTACTCGAGATTCACCTACCCTCAATAGGAGCCGTGATGTAATAGGACCGTCACCATCGACTTCAAATCATAGTTTGGATAAACTTACTGTGAACGGAGGGGAATCTGTTTCTTCGATCACATTTATCCATTCGTTTTCACGTCGAAATGGTACGTTTTTTCTCTCAGTTCTATTTCACACCTCTAATATCTACTTTTTCCTTTCAGATAATCGAACTGCCCCGTGCCTGTGGGTTGGCACGAGCGCAGGCACTTCAATTGCATTGAACCTGATCCTTCCTCAAGATCGTCTGGTTTCTACGGTCGTCGTGGCACCTTCAGGTTTATTTTTCAATAGTTCATTTTTCAATCTCGTTGCCAATCATCACATTAGGACGGCATATCAAAGTATCGCGGATTTATTTCAGCTTTTGATGACAGTAAGTCACTCAGTGACATTAAGCGTCTGCACTTTCTACACCGTTTGTTACACAATTTGTCATTGCTCGCTTTTTGTAGTTTATAGCAAGGTGCTATAGCTGAAAAATTTGTTTTTATCTCTCTTTGAAATCATTTATGTTATCTCCTATTCTTCTGGTGAAGAAGTAGCTACAATTGCTTCTACTTCTTTTGTTGCCATGAACACATGTGTTACATTCACATAGAGATATGCTTTTCGAAATTTCTTTGCACATTCCTATCCTTCTTTACCTGTCACTTCCGTTTTTGCTTGCTTTGCTATCAGTGTCTTCTTCAGCTTCCTTTCTGTCTGCATTGAATTTCCTTTTTTTTCAAATGTAGAGCTTACCCATACGTTCAGCTCCTGTGAAAGTGTTCGGAACAGCCAAGGGTATGTGATGTGCATGTGTTGCTTTATAGAAAAGAAAACAAAATTCCAAGAAATGTGCTCGAATTTCCTGCATGAAATTGACAGTGGCAGTCATATGTTTGCGGTTCATAACTACGATAGTTCAATCCTACGTGTAAATATCCGACGACCAATGCTGGGTTAAAAGAATCGGGAAGCAAGACCAACTTTTCTGCGAATTTCCGTCCACTTTCGCTATATTGTTTGACGTTCTGGGTCATTTCATAAGCAATGGGCTTTGCCATGCCATGAATTTTTCAAACGCATTCATTCAAACTAATACCAATATGCAGAGTATGTGCAACTCATGAACTGCGGC